TAGTCTACAATGGCCATGTGCAGGCTAGAGAGCTGGAAGAACCAGCAGCTGTGCAGTCCAACAGGCTGAAGCCCCAGAACAAGAGGGACCAATGGTGCTACCCCATTCCAAGACCGAAGGTTTCTGGAGAATCACTGGCAGAGTCCACTTCGAAAAAGAAAAGAATCAAGAGTTCGATATCCTCAGATGATCGCAGCAGCAATCAAGAACCTGTTCAAGAAGAACCAAGCTTACATGTGCTGCTGCTTCCTTGTTCTTCCAACTTTTATTCCATCCAAGCCATCATCCTATTGACAGTGCTGCCTAAGCTCAGGGAGGGTCTCCACTTCAGTTGGCTATCCCACATACTAATCATTCCTGGACACACCCTCATCCACACACCCATAAAACCTTTTAATCATTGGCATCTCTTAATCCAATCAAGTTGACAATTCAAATTAACCATTACAGGTATCAACTGCATTAAAGAATACTGAACAGCTGGTAAAGCATTATTTCTAGGTATGTCTGAGAGTGCATCCAGATAACAGTGGCATTTGAATCAGGGGGCTGAGTAAGGAAGATCTGCCCCTACCAATGTGGGCAGGCCCCATCCTGGGCAGAGGGCCCAGAGTGAGCAAAATGGCAAACTAAAGGCAAATTAATTCCTCCCTTTCTTCCTCCTCACTTCCCTATTTCCCTACCTTCCCTATCCTGCCTCCCAGATCTGGGACACCCACTTTCTCCTGCTCTTGGACATCAGAACTCCAAGTTATCCAGGCTTTGGACTCTGGGCCTTGCCCCAGTGGTCTCCTAGTTTCTCAGGCCTTTGGCATTGGACTGTGAGTTACACCACTACTGCTGTTGGTTCTCAGGCCTTTGGACAGAGCCAAGCTACCAACTTCCCTGGTCTCTGGCTTGCAGATGGCACACCATGACACTTCTCATAATCCCTTGAGCCAATTTTCATGGTAAATCTACTCTTGCATATCACATCAATATCTGTCCATGCATCCTATTGATTCTGTTTCTTTGTAGAAACCTAATACACTTCCTTGCATTGCAACCTAGAAACTAAACTGGCTCCAGGCAGTAGACTGACAACCAGTGTCACCTTGTTATATCCCTTCTCTTAAGGCTCACTGTCCTGCATAGTCTGTTTGTCTAATGTCTGTTTATATATTCTGTCCTGGATTTTTATTTAATATTGGGGCAGTATGTTCCACACCTGCTTTTTTTGTGGGTCGGGGAGGGGGGCATTGCTTTTGTTTCCAATTTAAATGCTACAAATAATCCAGAAGAAAAAAGCCTGTTCTTGCAAATCCTTAAAATCTGGCATACAGAAGGACCCCCCCCTTCTCAACAGTAGAAAATTTCCAATAGAAACAGAATCCCATTCTCCTCCGAGCAATGTTGAACCACATAAATTCATTTGACAACTGTTATGACTACCAAGCAAGAAACTTTCTTGCTGGAGATTTTTTTTCATTTGGATTTACCATAAACAAATTTTAGTCATTTTACTGTCACAAGTGGTAATTGCCTCACTTGCCTTCTGTGGTTCTCTTACCATGTGGTTTTGTCAGATCTCGCAGGAGGAGCGCACTTGCCTTCGTGTTCCCCATCTGCACAGATGCTGCTTTTAGCTTTGACAATAACACAATATGATGTCTCGGAGTCTCAAATGACTAGAAGGAGCCTTGCCAAAGAGAAGGCTTTTTACAGTAAAGCATTGTAACAACAAGCAAACTGCTTTCCAAGGAGCACTTTGCAACACAGAAACGAGTTCTGAATTATTTCTGAAAGTAAGAGGAACCCCATAATCTGGCATTTGATGTCCTTCCATTGATGAGATGGGAACATACTTTTTAAGCAGATCCACTCTTTTAACAAAGAAATGGCAGCAAACATGTGAGGTAAACGTCTATAGGCAGGATAGAAAAGAAGAGCAGAAAAAGTTGATTTTCTTCCCTATCAATTTTATATGTCCTGTTGGAAATTTGCCCATATGCACATTAACTTAACCATCAATTAGGAATTTTTTTTTAATGTGGTGCTGAGGATCGAACCCAGTGCCTCACATGTGCTAGGCAAGTGCTCTGCCACTGAGCTACAGCCCCAGCCTCAATTAGGAATTATTAATCACCAATCATCTACTATTTTAGAAAAAATTATGAATGGCAACAATAAATGGGAGGGGTATTGGGTGTAGGGTAGTGTCCTGTTAGGAAGGTGAGGTCACACAGAGACCCAACTGGTACATACTCAAGGGTTGTCTTTAGGGTCTCTGTACCTTTGGATCCTTTCTTCATTCTTCTGTGCCCCTCTCCTGTGAGGCCTAACCCACCTTCCACCCAGACCCAACCATCTCCTGGACAGCATTCTGTGCTCTCTCCAGAGCTACTCAAAGTAAGACTGTTAACAGGCCACAAAGAGATGAGCAGACATTGAATATAAGCTTCTAGAAACCTTATAGCAAGCAACAGAATAATTGTATGAATATATATGGTTTATGCAAGTTATATAAATGTAAATCTAAAATTATAAGTATAAATATTATAAAATCATAAATATATAACATACATAAAATATAAACATAAACATAAATTACAAATACATAAAATCATACAAATTATATAAATATATTTAAAATTTTATATATAAAACATGTCAGAAAAAAATCAATAACCTAAAAAGCCCAAAAAGAATAAATGGCTAAGTGCTAGGCAAAGGTGTATGCCTATAATTACAGCTACTTGGGAGGCTGAGGCAGGAGGTTTGCAAGTTTGAGACCAGCCTGGGAAACTTAGCAAGATTCTCTCTTAAAGAATAAAAAGGGCCGTGGTGTAGCTCAGTGGTAGAGTGCTTGCCTAGCATGTGTGAGGCCCTGGGGTCAATCCCCAGTACTTACAAAATAAACAATAAGTAAACAATGGCTAAGCAAACGATCAATACCTGATAAGGAGGCTGGATGAACACCAGACAGAGAATAAGCTGAGCAGTATGACAAGTACCTAGAAATGTAGAAATGTGTAAAAAAATAACATATCTTTATTTACTAAGGTAATGTTTATAGTGATTTTTAAAAAGGAACTGGATATGAAGTAAAGGCACATCAATAGGGAAATGGCTGAACAACTGCCCTGTGAAATGTCCTGATTTCAAAGATTGAATGAGATCTCTCTAAGCTGACCTGGAGGAATTTCACAGCACTTTGAAAAGTAAAAAGGCAAGATACAGAGATTTGTGTGTAGCGGCCCATGGTTTTTTAAAATGAAAAAAAATAAAAGCCTTCTGTGTATATTAGTGGTAAGGTAGTATGTTAAGGTAGTATGTTAACCACCAGAGGATGGAAGAAGGTAGGAAGTCTATCATTTGGCTGTTAAGATCAACTACCTGGAGCTGGGCTCAGTGATGCACACCTGTAATCCCAGTGACTAGGGAGGCTGAGGCAGGAGTTTCAAAAGTTTGAGGCCAGTCTCAGAAACTCAGTAAGACACTTAGCAACTTTAGTAAGACCTGGTCTCAAAAGATTGGCTACTTGATTTTGGATAGGAACATTGAGGGCCAAACAACAAAATTAAGACTGAAATAAGTCTATTTCAAAGCACCCATAATTTTGAACATAACATACCATACATTTATGTATATGTGTATGATTCTATCAATATATACAGCTGACCCTCTGTATCCAGTGTTCCAATCCACAGATTCAACTAGCTATGGATCAAAAACATTCAGGAACAAAGACTGAATCTGTACTCAACACATACAGACTATTTTGGTCATTATTCCCTAATTATATAATACAAAAATTATATACATAGCATATTATATATGATAAGTAATTTAAAAATAAAGTATATGAGAGAATATACATAGGGAATATGCAAATACTATATCATTTTGTATAAAGAACTTGAGCCATCCATAGATTTTTTTTATATCTACAAGGGATCCTGGAACTAAGACCACCATATATACCCAAGGACAACTGGAGAAAGAGAGCAAGAGAGAGAACAAGAAGCACAAACACTCTATTAGCTACAGTCACCAAAGTTATGGCAGTTGTCTTCAAGAGGGGTATTCCTAGTAATTTTTAAACTCTTCTTTTTGTTTGAATGTTCACAACAACCAGGTATTATTGATATAATTTTTTAAAACCACACATCTTAGATACCTTCCTTGTGTCCCACCTCTGAAGCCTGGTCCCTCACCTGATCCCACTATACCAAACTGGTTCAAGTTCCCAGTGTCTCTAACATACCCCTGCCTCAGTCTCTCCCTCTCCAGAGAGTTCTCCACCTGGAAATGGGAGTGACCTTGCTATTACACCCTTCCATGCACAACTCTCCCCTTCTGAACCTCCTGGCTGCTCAGTGCCCAAGGAAACCATTCATAACCTTCAATGCTGCAGTCTGCAGCCTTAGACAACCCCCTCTGCTCTTCCACAGATGTCTTTGCTTCGGTAGCCTCTCCTGAATCTCTCCTCCTGTTCTCCTGCTGTACTCCACACACACTCGAGTAAAGCACTGAGATTATGAGTTTTCATAGTTTACTTCCTTCCTCCCTATACTATGAGCTATTTAAGGGCAGGACTATTTCCTAAGTGTCTTTACTAAATGAACAAATGAATGCATGAATCTGTAAAAGTAGAAGCCAAAAACATTAACTATAGATGCACATCAGCCCTGTAAAATGTCTGCCTGAGCCTTGCAAAAAGGCTTACAGGGAAACACTTTAAAGTTCATTTCTTTTTCTTTTTCAGTAAATGGCCTGAGCTACTCTACTTTTTAAATCAACTCCCAGGAGTTCACCCAGTGAATAATTTATACTCAAGTTACCAAAAGTTAACTACAGTTTAAATCCCTACCAAAAAAAAAAAAAAACAGAGAAGTCCCAAAGGAAGCTGTTGTCCCCTTTTAAAATCAAACACAAGTTTAATACTGTTCTTTTGCCATGCCAGTTCTAGAAAGAGTATCTCTCTCCACAAACACGGCCCAGCTGCGGGGGTTACTTACTGGAGTTGAGGAGTATCATGGCCTTGACACAGAGATACTCTTTGTGCTGGAGTTTCAACTCACGAAACCTTGAAGTTGTTGCCAGGAGCATGTCAAAGATCTCCAGAATTCCTTCTACGCATTTCCCCTCATCCCTACAAAAGTTCATTTGAGAATTTAAGGAACACACAGCTTTAGGCAACCATCAAAAAGAATAAGGAACATTTTCGTTTTAATCTCAGATTTCATCTTGTACATCCTTTGACTGCAGCAAGGTATTATTAAGACAACACCTAGCAACATGAAATTGCTACAATTATCTTCATATAAAGAAGACAAGGTGTGCTATAGGGGATTTTTTTAGTAAATCAATAATATTGAGTCAATATTATTTAGGCAAAAGTATGCATTGGAACTACATTTTTCCTTCCACCTCTTCATCAGGTGTTTGTTGTTGTTTTATTTTCTTTTAAAGAATACCACTCTAGTTGATTATTTTAAAACTAAACCATTTCAGTCACCCAGATATGACACCTAGCCAGATATGACAGATGACTCAAATGAGGCATTCCATGTTCCCATTGGGAAGTGTTAAGAGGAAGTCTGCATGTTACAGAAGCAAATATCCCAAGAAGAATAAACTTTCATATCTAGAGCTTCTCATTTCCTAGCTGCTTAGAAACAGGTGTGCCAACCAAGACACACTTCCAAACAAGTTAATTTGAAAAAATGCATCTGGGAATATGATATACGAAGAAATCACAACCGAGGTGAATTAGTGTCAGAAAAAGGCAGAAGTGGGATTGGAGAAAATTTTGACTTGAAGTTTTTGTTATTTGTTTTGAAACAGAATCTCATTATGTTGCCAAGGCTGGCCTCAAACACTTGGGCTTAAGTGATCCTCCTGCCTCAGTCTCTTCAATAGCTAGGCCACAGGCACTTACTATCACACCAGGCTTAAAGATCATTTTTCTGAAAAAATTTTAGGCAAACTTCAAAGCATATAATCAAAATTCTTTTGAGAACTCCTTATAGGGATGAATTTTTTTAAACATACCTTTGAAGTAAATTACTGTTCTTTATCTAAAAAAAACAGTGGCTTTTATTCACTCTAGCCAGACATATATTATTCCACCTCACTGCTTTCCAAAAAACTTCTATCATCATCAGATAGAGTTACTGGAAGTCCCTAACAATCAGGAAGATGATTTTGCCCAAAAACCCTCATTACTCCTGAAAGTTGCAGTGCATCTGAGTGAAGGGTGTCCATGGCACAGTGGGGTTCTGTGGGTTTCATTTTTAGTCTCTTTAGCATCCCCCAAAGGGAGATTGAAGTCTCCTTGGCACTGGCTGCCCCCAATCCTTTTCCCTCAACCCCACCAGGACACTTCTAATGATCATGGTATTTGCAGGAACAGCCTCTGTAGAATTCAAATAAACTGACACCACTGGGCACCACCAATTCTGGAGAGACCTTTCCCATTAGGTGCTCAGCCAGGAGCGCAGCTCACCAGGGTCCTGCTTTCCACAGCACCTGTGACCCCACAGACTCACCTACAACCCCACAGACTCACCTACATAGAGCTACAAGCACCCAAACTGGCTCAGGGTTTTGGCAAATCAGCATGGTGACTTCTGCAAAAAGTTGCAGCTTTCTGAAAATACACAGGTTAAGTGACAAAACACTAGTGCCCCCTAGAAGTCACTTACAGGGAAAGACATCTATCTGGGAGAATCAGAGCACTTTGGAAGGAATGCCATAATCTGCGAGAACCCCCCCCCCCACCCTCCCCACACCCCTTCTTCCCACCTCCTCTGATCACCTCCTCAGTTCTGGGTTCCAGTAGGGACAACAAAGGCTCTGCACTTAGCAGGTACACAAGAAACTTCCCTCATGCCACATCAAGTCACTCTGCTCGAGACAACTAATTCTTAGAAATTGCAACTGTTGAGCTTGAGAACATTTGGTTCAGAGAAGTTGATTTTGCACTTAAGAGCAAAAACAAAAAATACCCAACAACCCTTGCACTTATGCTTTAAAAGTTTGACTTTGGGAGCTGGGGCTGTAGCTCAGCAGTGAGTACTTGCCTAGCATGTGTGGGGTACTGGGTTAAATCCTCAGCACCACATAAAAATAAATAAGTAAAATAAAAATAGTGTATCCATTTGTAACTAAAAAAATTAATTTTCAAAAGTCATAATGGTATAGCAGACACTCATCTGAACTCAACCCTGTTTTTTAGAAGTTGTCACCTGTGCCTAAGACCTGCCACTAAATATTGAGATTGGTACCATTCCTCACTAAATGCATGCCATATGTTTTTTTTTTAGTTGTAGGTGAACACAATACCTTTTTTTAAATTTATTCTTTACGTGGTGCTGAAGATCAAATCAGTGCCTTACACAGGCTTGGCAAGCGCTCTACCACTGAACCACAACTCTAGCCCCAAATGCATGCCATTTTTAACGAAAATTCGTATTTTAAAATGCGGAGAGAGTTTACATATAGATATATACTGCCACTTAGAGTAATCAGAGCATATGTACTTCATGGGAAAAGTGAATTTTCATGAAATTCACTTGAAAGAAATCCTAAAGAACCAGGTTTGACTGCTTTCTTTTTGGCAGGTATGACAGATAACCATTTCATTCAAGGGCTGGCAAAGTTAGAATATTTTGTTCAATTCACAGTCTGTAGAAACCAAATATATTTTTAGAAAATAAATGAGAAATATAGGGGCAATAACAAACAATACCTCATAAATGAAAACCTCATAAAATTCTACTTTCAGTTGAGTTATACAGAAAAGTGGAGGATTTAAATTGATGAGGTCTATTTCATTTATTTTGTAATTATGGATTAAAACTGAATTATAAGCAAAAAAACTAGGACAAGATAATAAGACTTGAATTAAAGATAGAGAACATACGGACTGAAGGTTAAAATATTGAAATTGTATGTCAATCAAATCTACTTACTCATGGAAGTACACATTTGCCTACCATTTGTCCATAAACCAGTGCCAAATAAAATTACTAATTACATGTGGAATAGTCTATTGCTTGATAATAATCTTTTATAAAAGAAAGACATCCTGTTTGATATAATGACAAATGTTCAATGAGTGGGCCCTACTTTGGGGCTATTCTTTAGTACTAACATATGTATCTGCTGGCTGCACACATGGTTACAGACCAGAATTTACCTCCTGTGTATGGCCATTGGATATAGGGTGGGCAGACCCAGGTAAGTCCTTTCCATGTGCTTATCCTTAACAAGGGTTCAACATTTGGATACTGAGGGTAAATTAAAATTTTGAAGTGAAAATATTATAGCTACCTTGAAAAAAATTCAATATAGAAACAATTAATGCAAATACACACTCAAACTTCCTCTCATGGCATTTGGTTTTTTGTTTTTATTTTTTGGTACTAGAGATAGAACCCAGAGACACTTTAACACTGAGTTACATTCTCAGCCTTTTGTAGTTATTGTTTATTTTGAGACAGTGTCTCACTAAGATGCTGAGGATCTCCATAAGTTACTAAGGCTGGCCTCCAACTTGTGACTTCCTGGGATTACAAGTGCACACCTCGGCACCCAGCTTCCTCTGATTTTTAAATAGCATTTAACATTAACAGTTTCTTATTGATGCTAAGGATATAAAAATGTCATGTATGATTTTTTGAGCAAGCAGCAGCTCAGGTTCTGTAGTAGATCATGAAATGAATTTATGATTTTAGTGGTTACTAAAAGAACTACCTTTTTTGAAATCGGCTGAGATAACCAGATTTTCCTCTCATCCTCAGTAGGTTCAAGTTTTCTTGCTGCAAAAGCCTCAACATGAATAAAGGTCATATCACTACTTGAAGGAATTCTGGCAGGGAAATTTAGCAACAGACAGCTAATTTTCAAATAGTGTGAGGATTATTTATTTACTTAGCAAAAAAGATTCATAATGGAACTCCTTTATAGAGTATGATCCCTGATTTTGATTAGGCAACTCCCCCAGAAACTATATTATCTATATAAGAGATGAGCTGAGTAACTGAACTATCTTAAACTTGAAATTCTAGATTCCAAAAAGCTAATGTGTCAAAAATAATACTAGGGTGCTGGGGCTGTAGCTCAGTGACTGAACACTTGTCTAGCATGCGTGAAGCACTGGGTTCCATCCTCAGCAACACATAAAAATAAACAAATAAAATAAAGGTATTCTGTCCATCTAAACTACAAAAAAAAATTTTTTTTAATAATATTAGGGATAACAACAAAAAGTAAACATGAGGAGGCACCAAACAATGCCTCCTCAATGTGAAAGCATTTACAATTCCCTAGAACTCCTTTTTATACTTAATGAGATATACTAAATTTATATGTTATAAAACATAAGACTTTCAAATATTTATAAAGAGTTATGTGAATATATTAAAAATAACTTTATTCTTCTATTATCTAAGTACAATGTAAGCACAATATTTATCCAGGATTGGTTTCCATTTATAGAAATTTTCACATTTACTTACAGGAATTAAAGAACCCATATAAAGAAGCAAGTTAATTGCACTAAAATCCAGGAATGAAATAGTCACTGAAAATTAACACTATAAGACAAAAAGTAAAATAATTTCAATATCTGCAAATCTACTGGATTATCAAGGGACAGAACATCTCACTAGCACTAACTTCTAGGAGAACTGTATGTGTATATTACATGTACAAGTAGGTTTGTCGGGGAGTATATGTGGCTTTATTTAAGTCATCGAGTGGAACATAATGAATGCATGCCTTGGCTGGGTGCTTGGCTTTTTGGCCTGCCTTGTAGCACTGTACCCTGAGATGACAGCAGGAAGAGTGAGTTTCTGAAGTAGGCAGAAATAAAATAGTGCTATTTTAAGCCAAAAGACTAAAGTAGAAAGCAAGGCAGCCTTTTGGCCTCCTCCTTCCCCTTCCAGTTCTCTCTTGCCGAGAGGCAATGTACCAATGTCACTAAGAGTGTGGATTCCGCAGCCAGGTCCCCAAATCCAGCTCTACCACTTACTTTTGTATAACTGTAGCAATGTCACTAAACCTTCCATTTCCGATAGGGATTCTGATGTTGCTTACCCACAAAGGGCTGTTGTGAAGATTAAACAAGTCAACATATATCAAGTCCTTACGATGGTGCCTGGCACATACAAGACATTAAGTGAGCTATTTTGATTGTTACTGAAGGCTCTCATGCTCCACACTGCTCTGGGCTTCCAGAGCTTCCCTCTATGGTTCACCACCAGGGCTTGCTCCTGCTCAAACCACATCCCATGCGCCAGCTCTTCCCACAGGCTTTGTTCTCCACCAAAACAACTTCATTACTCAGAACAGTGCTCTTTGTCAATGTCATCCATGAATAGATGCTGATACCTTGGGGCACCGCTCTTCATCTGCCAAACGTGCGAATGAGGGTCTTCTGATGACCTAAAGTGGTAACAGGATTATGATGCAAGAGTTGGGGCAGGTACTTTCTGTTCTTAGCACTAGGCATCCTCCTACTCTGTGCAGAGTCAACGTGCACTTTTTCAACATAAGGGGAAGTGGAAATCAATTCCCATGGAGATTTTCAAACTGTTCAAATGTACACCAAAAGTTTTCTATTAGGGCTGAGGTTGTGGCTCAGTGGTAGAGCACTTGCCTAGCATGTGTGAGGCACTGGGTTCGAGACTGAGCAGTGCATATAAATAAATAAATAAATAAAAGTCCACTGACCTTTATATATATATATATATATATATTTTTAAAGTTTACATATATAAATACATATATATATTTATTTATTTTAAAGTTTTATATATATATTTTTTAAAGTTTTCTATTTCTTTCTGCAAAAATCTTTAATATGTTTGTATATTCCAGCTTTCCCTCCATAAACAGCTCTATTAAATCAATTAAAAATTGGTTCCTTTTCTGTGCCATCATTTTTAAAAAGCTAAGTAACCAAGTTATGACATTAGCACTATCATATCCCAACTTCTATAAACCTTCATCTGGTTTTAATAACTATTCCTTTTACCGTTATTTCCAAAAACACTGTTATAGCACATGCTTTAGAGTGAGTTAAAGCATATGAAAATAAATTCATAAGAAATTTATTCATAAGAAATTTATCACCTGTATAGATAGTTGGAGATGTAATTGGTCACTAGGGGTGGACAAGACAGCAGAACAATTTAAGACTATAACCTGAAAAAAAAATTTTTTTTTTGGTACCAGGGATTGAACCCAGGGGTACTTAACCACTGAGCCATATCCACAGCCCTTTTATGTTTTATTTTGAGATAGGGTCTCACTAAGTTGCTGAGGCTGGCTTTGAACTCATGATCCTCCTGCCTCAGCCTCCTGAGCCACTGGGATTATAGACATGCACCACTGCACACCACTAAAATAGAATTTTTAATGCAGAAAGATCTACATTGACCTGCACACTTAGTGGCCATATATCCTGCAGGGTACAGTCCCTTGTTGTGACCCCAGCCTTTGAATGCAGCTGCGCCACAGATTAGCAGGGAGGCAAGGGACAGTGAATCCCAGCTTTCTTTTTCTTGGGTTCTTGACCCAGTGAAGGAGCTGATGACATTATCATCCTCTAATTACCCTTTCAGGTGTGAGATTTTAATTACTGCACCTAGGATTTTGTTTCCACTCACTAAGTGGCCTCACTCAAAACGAGTCTGAGAAGAAGCAAAATACGTGTTCCTCACCTGTCCAGAACGAGGTCTGGGGCGAAGATGAGCTTGCCGGGGTGGTCAATGGAGCGCCACATCAGTCCCACCATCAACACCTCCATCCAGCAGCTCTCCAAGAGCCGCACTTGGTCCAACAGGCTGAGCTCCACGAAGCCTAGGGAAAAGAAGATATCGTGAGACACACCACACCCGCCCTGCTCTTCCACAACCTGTTCTGTGAAGTCAGAACAGCAAGTTTTTAAAGGCTTAGGAACATAAACAACATAGGGAAATAATGAATATAAGATGTGATTAAACGTTGTTTAAAGGAAGAAAGTTTTGAATTTAAGTTTTGAAACTTGCAGTTTCCAGTCTTGAATCTTTTATAGAGATTAATAAATTTCATTTAGTATTTATTTATGTATGTATTTATTTATATTTCCGTCAGTCCTGGGGATTAAACCCAGTGCTCTACCAGCCCTTTTTATTTTTCATTTTGATGCAGGGTCTTGCTAAGTTGCTCAGGCTGGCCTTGAACTTGGTGATCCTCCAGCCTTAGCCTCCTGAGTCACTGGGATTACAGGTGTGCACCACCACAGCGGGCTTCACTTAATATTTATAAAGAACTATTACCAAGGCTACTTGGCTCCCTGGGCAGATGCTTAAGGAGAACAGAAAGCCAGAACTGATCCTTGTTAGCAAAACTGTCTTAATAACTCCTGTGACTATTGAGAAAGATAGAGCTCAACTGCCAGTCAGAGGGACTACCTGTCTGACCCCAAGCCATGACTGGGACTAAAAGGGTGGGCAGAAAGGGTAGGTGGAGGTTGGGGGTGAGGGCCATGCAGGGAGCAGTGCCAGCCTCTGCTGAAAGTCAAGGCTTCAACTGAAATGGTTCCTCTGATTGCTCAAATTTCCTCTCTAGAGTTAGGTTCATTCTTCTAAGTAGGAACACTCATTCTAGGTGAATGCATCCTAAAGAGCAAATACTACAACTGAAGCAGGTCCTGACGGCCTAATAGCATGCATTGGTCACAGAACTGGAAAGAAACAGAAATCCGTAAGGAACTGAGTGCTTTTAAAGCAAAGTAGAGAACACTGGAGCTTCCTTTATGTGCTATGATAAAAAGAGCAGGCAGGGTAACCAAAGGCAAAGTCTTTGCATAGAATGAACTTCAGTTTGAACATTAGCTCAGTCCCCTCCTAGCTAGTTATTTAATCTCCTTTAAGACTATTTTCTATAGGAAACATGGGGGCACTCTTGCCTTCCTCTGAAACCTTCCTATAGGTACGATCACTTAACCTACTCATTTTACCAATGAGGAAACTGCAGCACCAAGACCACACACATGATTCAAATCTTTGAGCGATTACATTGTGAATCTGCACAAAGGAGAGTTCAATGGAGTAATGAATGTAAAGATGGACAAATCCCTTCCCTAGACACACACATAGCCCAGTTCAGGTCCCTCTTATGTACATACATTCCAATTCCACTCAGTTATAAACACTACACCTACCCAAGAGAGATGAAGATGTCTATTTTTATAGATATCTGACAAGACTGAGGCTAGATGATATTTTAATACCATTTTGGTTTGGCTAATGACTATGTCAACTGCAGGGAGAGAAAAATCACACCTTAAGCCTATACCTAAATTTTCTGCAAAACTTTCAAAACACCACACTTAAAGAAGGACTAATATGGCTTAAAAGTTCACTTTTGTTAGAGTACAAAGAAGCTGCAGAGTTTTTAGGAATAATTTCACCACTACTCTCCATGTGGGATCCTGCAAAATAGTGTTTATGCATTCAAAGCAAAAACTGAAGGAAAGTGCATCAGTGTTTTCTCCTGTGGGAAACAGCAGAGAAAATGAAATCATTCTGGCAAAGGTGAAGATGCTAGACAAAACAAAACAAAGCCAGACACCAGAAAATCCTCAGAAAACTCCGAAGGAATGAGCCCAGGCCCACAAAGGACCATGAGAGACAGGGTCTTAGTTCCCACAGCTCTCTATCCCCAACATTTCTTCACCTAGCTTCTCACCCCCACCTAATATTTACAGTTTGCCTAATGCAGTTGCTGCCTCTGAAGCCAGGGGTTTAGAGCCTGGAGACAGACCTCATTTCTTAGGCCACTGTAAAGAAGTGGATGGAGATGTCTTTTCGGAGGATGATGTGTTGCAGCCATACAAGGTTAGAATCCTAAATTCACTCCTCCATAGAAACACTAGTTCAGATACTAATTAGTAGTTTTAGCACAATATAGTACTTCAGGTACAGATGCTCCTCAGCTTACAATGGGGTTACATCCAGACAAACCACAGTAAGCTGAAAATATTTTAAGCCAAAAATTGCAAGACCTGGCTTGGTGGCACTCACCTGTAATCCCAGCAGGTAGGGAGGCTGAGAAAGGAGGATTGTGAGTTCAAAGCCAGCCTCAGCAAAAGTGAGGCACTAAGCAACTCAGTGAGATCCTGTCTTTAAACAAAATACAAAATAAGAGGCTGGGGTTGTGGCTCAGTGGTAGAGTGCCCACCTAGCATGTGTGAGGCACTGGGTTTGATCCTCAGCACCACATAAAAATAAATAAGTAAAATAAATGTATTGTGCCCATCTACAATTAAAAAATATATTTAAAAAAATACAAAATAGAGCTGGGGATGTGGTTCAGTGGTTGAGTGCCCCTGTGTTCAATCCCCAGTACCCCTCCCCTCAAAAAAAAATTAAAAAGAGAAATGCATGTAGAGCTAGGTACTACGGTACACATTTGTAGTGTCAGATACTGGGGAGGCTAAGGCAGGAGTGTCACTTGAGGCTATGTTGGGAAAGAGCAAGACCCTATCTTAAAAAAAAAAAAAAAAAAAGCACGTATTAAATTCAACTTACCAAACATCGTAACTCAGTCTAGCCTACCTCAAACATGCTCAGAACACTTATATTAGCCTACAGTTGGATACAAATCATCTAACACAAATCCCATTTTATAATAAAATGCTGAATAGCTCATGATTGAATACTGAGCCACAAGAGAAAACCAGAATGGTTGTATGGGTACACTTTCACACCATCATAAAATTAAAAAATTATAAGTCCCATCTTAAATCAAGGACTGTCTATATATACTATAAATAGGTCTGGTTTACTTTATAGGATGGAAAGTTTACTTTATAGGATGGAAAAATGTAGGTTCTAAATGACAACTCAAAAACAGTTAAGCCTGCTTTTGACTTGACAGCATGCCAGGTTTATTGGTCTATTGATTCGTGTTACCTCAACTGCTGGTTTACTCTATTAATCTTTGTATATTAACTTATGTATATAACACTGATACTTCCTTGATTGGAAAAATATTTTAAAACTTCCTATTTAGGATCTGACAAACCTTTCATTTTCAGGCTGATCATACTGTACCCTACCTCACCCCAACCTGCTCAAGGTGAGAAGTCCACAGCCAACAGACCCAGTCAATGTGGAGGTCATAGATCTACCTTTTAACTATGTTCCAGGTTCCAAACCCTGGACTTTCTTGCCCAAATGGTCCCAAGTTCAATTTTAGAGCCCAGGTATGTCTCTTTCTGAGACTGTTCTCCCAGACCACACGTAGGAATGAGAGGCAGCCAACAGGCAGTGTCTTTTGGAGATGTGTACAGAGAGGATGGGGTGCGTGCAAGGAGGGACCCAGGGAGTAGGGAAAAGAAGGGAGTCAGGAACAGAAACAGGCCAGGTACAACTCCTTCTGTACCAACATGTCAGGTAGAGAGGAACTGAGAAGTCCAAGAATTCTAAACCACACTGCCTTCCAGGAAATGTTGAAGCTATGTTTTCAACATAGGAGAAAAGAACACATTTTAAGTTATAAATTAAGATGTCAAATTGTTAACTATCTAGACAAAGTCCTGGACATCTACTTTTTACTCTCAACCCAAAAATATTAGGAGCAGTCCTTTCTAGAAATAAATGAAATGCGAAGACCCAGAGAGCCCTACCAGGAATTTTCTTGGCCCAGCCAATCATGTGCACCAGTTCCTTGTCGGCCAGCTTGGTGAGGGACATCATCATGGAGACCTCTGTGAAGGGTGTGCTGGGGCGGCTCACCAGCACATTGGGTGGCTCCGCCTCGAGGAGGGTGAGCACCAGCTGCTCGGGGCTCAGGGCACTCAGCAGCAGCTCCTTGGCTCGTGGCAGGTGCCCACCGGTTTTCTTGGCTTTGCTCAGGCAGTGCAGCTGCTCGCTGGAACTTCTCTGTCGTTTCACCACGTGATACCCGCACCTTTCTCTCCGGGAGCCTGAAGGGGAGATCAGATGGCCATACAGTGTTTGCTCTGATCCAGAGGCTAGATCCTGATGGCCAGGGAAAAAACGCAGCCATGATATCACTGAAGGACCCGAGTCTATTCTCAGAAAGCGTCTGAGAACAGAAGGTCAACTTCTTTTCTGGAGCCTTGGGGCCTGGACTGAAGATTACTATAGTTGTGACTGTATTAACAAAATCAAAAACTTGACATTTTAGGCATATTAAATCTCCATTTGAAGGTCATCTGTGGATACTAAATCCATTTCTCTTTTAAAGCATGAGGACATATCTCAGTTTCCAAATTACAAAATTAAGAATTTTCCTCAGGTAGAAAATAGGGAAAAGTTAGGACTTCAACATTGATAATACACTTTATGATATATTTTAAATATATGGATATATACGTACACATGTATGTATGCATATCTGTATGCACATATACACATATGTGTAACACGTGTTCTTGTCACAACTTACACAAACAAGTTTACTTCAAATAAATTAATTGAAAAAAAAACTGGAAAATAGAGAGGAGAATGACTTTGGACATAAATACTTTCAGCCTTTTATGCTTTTATACATTTTCATATTTTATAAACAAAATTAGAATCATGGCATAGGTACTATTTCATAACCTTCTTTTTCTCTTTTCATTAAAAATGTCATATGAAGGGCTGTGGATATAGCTCAGTTGGTAGAATGCTTTCCTCGCATGCACAAGGCCCTGGGTTCCATTCCCAGCACCACAAAAAATAAATGAATAAATAAATAAAAATGTCATATGACAATTAAAAATGCACATAGCGTTCTGTTCTATTAGTATAGCATCATTTATTTAGAGTTCCATGCTAAAGTTAATCTAATTTGCTACAATTTTTCTATTAGTTTAAATATTATAATAAACATACATTTTTGTATATGTATCAAATTACTTCCTTATAATAAATTCAAAGAAATCAAATTGTTGAACCAAGGCATACATACATGTAAAATTTTAATACACATTCACAGATTACTCCCCAAAAGTGTTTCAAAAATTATAATCTAGTAGTTTAAGGACCACCTATTCTCACATAATACCATTGAACATTAAAAATCATTTTTTTAATAAATATTTTTTAGTTGTAGTTGAAACAATACCTTTATTTTATTTATTTATATGTGGTACTGAGGATCGAACTCAGGGCCTTGCACATGCTAGGCAAGTACTCTACCACTGAGCCACAAACCCAGCCCCTAAAAACCATTTTTAATATTTGCTTTTATAAGGACTAACATTTTTAATATTTGCTATTATAAGGCTGGGCTAAACAGTCTTGCCTTACTTTGTATCTTTAAAGTTACTAGTAAGGTTAACTAATATGTTTGTCCTTTGTATTTCTTTACTTATTAATTGCCTATTTGTGTATTTTGCCCCTTTCTTCCCTAAAACCTAAAAAGGCTCTTTGTATAGTATTGATAGATAACTTTGTTAGATGCAACATTCATCTTATTTGCTTTTTAAAAAAAATATTTATTTATGTATCTTTAGTTCTTTTTTGTTTGTTTGTTTTTTGTTTTTTTTAGGTGGATACATTAGTTTGCTTTTATGTGGTGCCGAGGATCGAACCCAGTGCCTCATGCATGCTAGGCGAGCACTCTACCACTGAGCCACCACCCCAGCCCTTATTTGCTTTTTTTTAATTGCTGTTTTTCTTTGTGTACTGGGAATTGAACCCAGGAGTGCTCTACCACTGAGCTACACCTCTACCCCTTTTTAATTTTTATTTTAATATTTATTTTTTAGTTGTAGTTTGACACAACATCTTTATTTTGTTTATTTATTTTTATGTGGTGCTGAGGCTCGAATCCAGGGCCTTGCACATGCTAGGCAAGTGCTCTACCGCTGAGCCACAATCCCAGCCCCCCCTTTTTAATTTTTATTTTGAGGCAGTGTGTTGCTAAGTTGCCAAAGTTGGCCTCAAACTTGCAATCCTCCTGCCTCAGCTTCCATAGTTGCTAGAATTACAGGCATGCATCACCATATCTGGCTATCTTACTTGATATATGTTTTTTAATTTTGCTCATGGTGTCCTTTGTCATAAGAAGCTTTAATGCAGAATCAAATCTTTTTACTTTATATCAATATTTTATATATTTTCCTTTATCTTCTTGAACACTTGTGTGATTCAAATTTATTTGGAATTTTATGCATACTTATATTATATCATGATATGATATGATATGATATTTATTTTCATGTTATATTTTTCAAATGGATATACAATTTTCCCAATAGTAATTATTGAATAAGACTTCACCACTGATGTGAAACGTCTTTTCATTAATAAATAATTACATATAAAATTATCTTTTCTCAGATTCTCTATTCAGTTTTAGAGATCTACTTTTCTATTCCTGTGTTAGTACCAAAATGTTTTATTAATGTGGGTTTTTGGATCAGAATACTATGGAAGAGGGGCCAGGGTTGTGGATCAGTGGTAGAGCGCTTTGCTAGCCTGCATGAGGCACTGGGTTCAATCCCCAGCACCATATAAAAAAAAATAAATGAATAAAATAAAGGTATATGTCCACCTACAAATAAAAAAAAATATTTAAAAAATACAATGGATGGACTGGGGTTGTGGTTCAGCAGTAGAGCACTCACTTAGCACATGTGAGGTGCTGGGTGTGATCCTCAGCACCACATAAAAAATAAATAAATAAATAAAATAAAGGTATTGTATCCATCTACAACTACAACTAAAAAAAATATTTTAAAAAAGTGATTATAAAAGAAAGAAATTAACAAATATACTATTATTATTGGATATAGTAATGTAATCTCCCTCAGCAACTGATGGAGCAAACAGTTGAGAGAAAAGTGAGAATGCTGAACATTTCAACTGCACAACTGACAAGCTTAATCTACACAGACCATAAATATTTATAAAAATTTTCACATGTCAGGTCATAAAGAAAATCTTAATTAAAATTGATGTCAGATCATTTTTGATGATGTTAAAATAAAGATAAAATTAGCAATGAAATAAATTAGCTAGAGCCAGGTACAGTGGTGCATGCCTGGAATCCCAGCAACTCAGGAGGCTGAAGCAGGAGGATCACAAGTTCAAAGCCAGCCTCAGCAACTTAGTGAGACCCTGTGTCAAAATAAAAAAAATAAAATGGGCTGGGGGTGTGGCTCAGTAGTCAACTGCCCCCTGGGTTCAATCCCTGGTACCAAAAATAAATTAATTAATTAACTAGAAGGCATGAGAAAATATAAACTATTGTTTCCCAAGGAAATTTAGTCTTAGCTAATTATAGTAAAAGGAAGGGCTCTATCCACTCAGGAACAGTTGAATCAAATTTGTTACCAAAAGAATTAAAAGTTTAAAATACATTTCGTTTTTTTTTTTTCTTTTCTTTTTTTTTTTTTTTTTTTGGTACTGGGCAGTGAGTCCAGGGGCGCTTAACCACGGGCCACATCCCCAGACCTTTTTAAAATTTTATTTTGAGCAGGGTCTCACTGAGTTATTTAGGGTCTTGCTAAATTGCTGAGGCTGGCTTTGAACTTGTGATCCTCCTGTCTTAGCCCCCAAGTCACTGGAATCACAGCTATGAGCCACCATGCCTGGCTTAAGACATATTTCATTTTATTAGCAATTAGAGTGTTATAAATATTTAAGTTCAATTATACTCCAGAATAACATGGAATAAAATGTGTGGCTTACAAAGCACTTCTCTAATCACACATTTCTCTTTTGTACCCTGTGTGAGGCTAAGGAGTGTACAAAAGAGATGTGCTTTCCCCGTGTGAAAGACTTTCAAGTCTTATGTTCCAGGCCCTTTAGTGAGTTCTGGAAATTTCAGGTTCCATAAAACAAAGCCCTTGTGAAGGAATTCATATTTTATATGAGGACATTTCTAATGCTATGACTTTGACACTACAACCTAGGCAGCTGCCTCTGAGTGAGCTTAATGACAAACTAACAAATAGGGTGTAGAAAATAGTCCCAGCCCAAAGAGGATGGATGGTGACTGTAATAAATGATATAATGGCAGCTAACATCAACCAGAAGCTTCTACATACCAGGTACTGTGTATTGTACACAGATTATCTATCTTGTGCTGACAGTCACCCTAGAAGGACAGGTGCTATTAATATCTTCAATACAGAGAGGAGGAGCCAGACACAAGGCAGCTCAAAAAAAATTGACCAAGTTAGGAAAGCTAGAAACTAGCAGGAGCAGGATCTAAACCTAACCAATCATATGAATCCAGAGCTTGTCCTTGTAACTATTGTCTTATTGTTTAACTCTTATTTTATACCAACTACCTACCAAATCCATTTTTTGAAAGTATATATATCAGGTGAGTAAAGAGATGACACTCAAAAGACGCTGAGCTGTTGTCCCAACACAGGGATAAATATGTGGCTATTGAGATTGTTTTCCTGGATAGTTACATGGAAACATATCCTTGTAAAGAGGCCTTATCTCTGATGTCAGTCTAGGCAGCTGTCCTCCTATGTTAAATAACTATATCAACACATCAGTAGGAAAGAAAAGATCAGAGGTAAAGAAGAAAAAATTAGTCACAGAGACATGATTTATGACTAAAAAGGGAATGTAGATGGTGCAGGAGGATCCAGAATGCAGGGAGACTACCAATCCTCCAAGACTGAATAGAAAGTAAAGTGTGAGTAGAGGGTTTGGGGGAAGGACAGACAAGAAGGGCATCTGGAGAGAGGCCAAAAGTAAAGAAACAAAATGAGGGGCTGGGGCTGTGGCTCAAGCGGTAGCGCGCTTGCCTGGCATGTGTGCGGCCCGGGTTCGATCCTCAGCACCACATACAAACAAAGATGTTGTGTCCGCCGAAAACTAAAAAATAAATATTAAAATTCTCTCTCTCTGTCTCTCTCACTCTCTCTTTAAAAAAAAAAAGAAAGAAAGAAACGAAATGACACTCAGTCCATAGGAGTCCAACCCTCATGCTCTTCCTACTGTGGGTGCTGCCTTGAACCCGGAGGACTAGAGCTGTCCAACAGATCCTAGTACACAATGTGCCCTTGACCTAAGATTAAACTGGAAATCATTGTTTTTTAAAAACGCACACACTACACTCACCTTAAAATATTGTTTAACTTAAAAATAAAGACCTTTTCTTTGTAATTTTTTTGTCAAAAGGCTAAAGGCTTTCTCTTTAAACATCTCTGACACCTGTAAAAATCACCTTTCTGCATGGACTATACCCATATGTCATCTCTGGATTTCCAGTTGCAGTATTTTTAAAAAATATTTTTTAGTTGTCAATGGACCTTTATTTTATTTATTTACATGCAGTGCTGAGAATCGAACCCAGTGCCTCACACATGCTAGGCAAGTGCTCTACCACTGAGCCACAACCCCAGCACCCAGTGGCAGCATTTTTAAAACGGAGCAACATGGCTGGGTGCAGTGGCACACGCCTATCATCCCAGAGGCCTGGGAGGCTAAGGCAGGAGGATCACAAGTTCAAAGTAACTGCAAGGTGCTAAGCAACTCAGTGATACCCTGTCTCTAAATAAAATAAAAAATGGGGCTGAGGACGTGGCTCAGTGGTTGAGTGCCCCTGAGTTCAATCCCTGGTACCCAAGGTGGGGGGGGGAACTAGAGCAACAACTTAGACATTCCTAAGTTTGTGATTTCTCCCCCTTCTTAGCTATTAGTCCTTTACAGTTTTGTTCAAAGCTTTCAAGTAAACTTTCACAGAAACAAAAGCCCAAGAAATGTGATCAAATTAAGATAGTTCTGCTGTACTTGTGAATTAGGTGAGGGTTCTAATCTATTGTACATACAGAGAAAAAGAAAAGAACCAGAGAATTTTAAAAAGCAGAGCTACTAAAAGATGATCAGGGAGAAAAAGAGAAAGATGCTCATTTTAATTTTTTTCAAATAATTAGTTACCAAGAAAGAAGTTACAACAAATTCCAGGCAAAATATAGGCTAGCAAAAGAATAAGAAAAGCACAGGCAGAGCTGATATGAAATATATATAAACAATAAGCATGACTGGGTATGATGGTGCACGCCTATAATCCCAGCTACTGAGGGGACTGAAGAAGGAGGCTGCAAGTTCAAAGCCAGCCTAGGCAACTTAGTGAGCTTAATGTTTCAAAATAAAAATAAAGATAAAAATAAACAGGCTAGGGATGTAGTTCAGTGGAAAAATGCTTGCCTAGCAAGCTCAAAGCCCTAGATTCAGTCCTCACCACCATCACACACACACAAAAAAAGTGTATACAGACAAGTAAATTAAAAGCTATCCAGGTGGAGAGAGCAGGAGTAGGCATCTTTGTGACTTGTTATACTAAAGTGCTCTTCTTTTTTTAACATGTGTATGTATAGCATGTATGCACACATATCATGTATATATACTATACATTATATACACTATATACTATATAGTGTACTATGTTATGCATACATATATAAACACACATACATACTGTCATAGAACAAAATCTGTTTCTGACTCCTGTATGTATTTTTTCCACTTCTAGAAAGCTAGTAGAAGGAAGCAAGACACTTCTCCATAGCTACCCAAATAACCCACAAGATATTCTACTTTCTTGTCATAAGTTTCCACTGTGGACATTTAAACCAGGATGTCGTTCTTGGAATGGGACTTTTCAGGGTCTCAGGAAGGTGGCCATCCAGCCTGTTAAACATTTCAGTGGCTAGAAGTTCCCTAGCCCATACAGTGGCCTATTCTGTTGCTAGACCCACATGAACTTTGCAAGTTCTTGCGCATTTGGGGCCAAAAATCTGCCTCTGGCAGTTTGATCACACTCATCCCAGCTCTGACATCTGCAGCTATAGGGAACTGGTCAATACGGTGTGACAAACACTTGAAGATAATCACTATGTCCTAAATCTCTTATCCAGGTTATGTGCCCTCTAGTTCCTCGAAAGACACAGTTTTCGGCATGGCTCCATACAACAAAAGGCAAGTGAACACTCACCGCATTTCACCATTCCTACTTCATAGCACTTCCGAAGCCGGCAGGCCTGGCAGCTTTTACGCCGGTTCTTATCTATGGTACACTGATTTGTAGCTGGGCAAATATAATCATTATGTCCTACAGTAGAGGAAAAAAAAATGAAGGTTCTTGTTAAAATATTTTGGTTAAATTTCTTCCAGGGCAACAACACTGATAATATTACCCAGTTGACTGTTGATGAAATTGTAAATTAGTTCAACCACTAAGGAAATCAGTATGGGGGTTCCTCAAAAGACCAGACACGGGACCACCCCATGATTCAGCTATACCATGCCTCAGTATTTATCTAAAAGAATTAAAGCCATCACCCTATAATGATACACACATACCATGTTTATAGCAGCATAATTCACAATAGCTATGATGGAACCAGTCCAGGTGTCCATCAACAGATGAATGGATAAAGAAAATGTGATAATTGTATATATGTGTATATATATATATATATATATATATATATATACATATATACAATTAAGTTTTGTTAAGTCATAAATAAAAATGAAATTATGTCATTTGCAGGAAAATAGATGAAACTAGACCATCATGTTAAGTGAAAGTCAAGGGACTATGTTTTCTCTCATATGTGGAAGCTAGAGAGGAAAAAGGAAAAGAAAGGTGGGGGCGGACCTCATGGAAATCAAAGGCAGATCAGTAGAGGAAAGAGATGGAGGGGTAGAAAAGAGGAAGGGTGGGGATAAGTGCTGGAGTGATACTGGCCAAATTATATTACTATATTGTGTACACAGACGAGTGTGTAACAACAAATCCCATCATTATGTGCAACTCTAATGCACCAAGAAAAAAAAATGTGGGGAAAAGCATATTATCCACGTGAGAGATAGGGGACAGATACAGATACAAATGCCAAAGTGACACCCTGACAACAAGTAAAGGAGAACTAAGAATAGCTCAGGACCTTGCTTTTTGGCTAATAGGTTATTCCCTCATATTACTAGAATTTAAAAAAATAGACATGCTTAGGCTGGGCACGGTGGTGCAAGCTTGTAATCCCAGCAGGTTGGGAGGCTGAGGCAAGAAGAACACAAGTTCAAAGCCAGCCTCAGCAACTTAGCAAGGCCTTAAATAAATCAGTGAGACCTATCTCTAAATAAAATATAAAAAAGGGCTAGGGATGTCGCTCAGTAGTTAAGTGCCCTGGGTTCAATCCCTAGTACCAAAATAAATAAAGAAATACATTTAGAAATATTCTCCTTTGGACATGGAAAGGGAAAGTCACATGAAATTGATTTGCTCCAAATCAAAGAATTCCTCAAGAGTTGTGTATCAATTCACCAAATTCAACTGCTTGTAGGCTTTTACATATATCCCTCTTTGGGATTTAATATAATATTTTTTATGTGAATTCATAACCAAATAAGAAAAGTAAATCAAAAGGAACAAATAAAGAAATTAGTAATTATTCTGGGAGATGAAACTGACCAGATTATGTTGTATGAATGTATGAATATGTGACAATGAATCTCACTAATATGTACAACTATAATGAACCAATAACAAAACTTTAAAACAGAAATTAGCAATCTACATAAGAACAGAAAGTACTTCTTTAGCTGTGGTGGGTTATTGTTCTCATTGTTTCACTCCCTCCCTCCTTCCACCTTGTGACCCTGTGATAGGCTAGAGTGCACAGAGTACATTTCTGAACCACTGATGTTGGGTTTGACTCTGGGACTTACTTTAGCAATGGTATGTTAATAAATGTGCTGTTCTAACAGTTGGCTTGACCTCTTGAGTGCCTAAAAGGTAGCCACTGGTCCAAGGAGAATGTGGAGATGTGTGGAAAAGACCTGAACTCAACCCAAAGGCCAGGGTCAGCCTTATGGAATAGAACCATCTTAATCAACCCATAGATCCACCCATACAAAAACTAATGCTCAGTGTAATAGGACATTAAGATTTAAGTTGTTTGTTAGATAACAACCTCTAAGACAATTACACTTTTATTTCATGCAGAGATAAAATATTTCAAAAATCAGTTATTTCATGGGCTGGGGCTGAAGCTCAGTGGTAGAGCACTTGCCTAGCATGTGTGAGGCACTGGGTTTGATCCTTAGCCCCATGTAAAAATAAACAAATAAAATAAAGGCATTCTGTCCATCTATAAATACGAAAAAAAAAAGTTATTTCAGATGCAGTATGGAGAATGGATTAGAGTCAGCAGAACCAATGGAGGACAGGAGACCAAGTGAGAACCTGCTATAGTTGTGTAAATGAGAGAGACTGTCTGGACTGGACATTCGTAGAAAGGATGATAAGGGACACATGGGTCTGAGAAAGGTTTAGAAAATGGAGACTATCATAAAACAGATAAAAAATAAATAGAGCATTCAGGTACCTTTCTTTTTCTTTTGGTAAGAGGGATTGATTAAACTCAGTGGCACTCAACCACTGAGCTATATACCCAGCCTTTTTTTTACATTTTATTTAGAAAGAGGGTCTTGCTGAGTTTCTTGGGGCCTCACTAAATTGCTAAGACTGGCTTTGAACTCGAGATTCTCCTGCCTCAGCCTCCCGAGCCACTGGAATTACAGGTGTGCGGCCACATCCAGCTCTTTTAAAAATTTTTAAATTTATTTTTGCTACTGGGGATGGAACTCAGAGGTACTTTACTACTAAGCTACATCCTCAGCCCTTTTTTTGTTTTTTATTTGCAGAGGCAGGGTCTTACTAAGTTGCTTAGGGCCACACTAAGTTGCTAAATTGAACTTTTGATCCTCCTGTTTCAGCCTCTTGAGCTTCTGGGATTACAGGAGTGTACCACCACCCCTAGAGGTGCCTTTATTTCTTCATTGTATCTTTCTAATAAACAACATAGCCTGAACTTCTTACCTTAAGCCTAAATGGATCAGATTTCCAGAGTAGGCAATGGATGAATCTCAATGATAAATGAATAAGTCAGAAAAGAAATAAGTCACAGGACACAGAGGAAGAGGATTCAATTTATGCAAAGTTAAAAAACAGAGAAAATGAAACTATAGTGCTTAGGGATATGTGCACACGTGGTAAAATCTTAGCAAGGAAGGCAGAAGTTATGACTGTCTTACCCCTGGAGGGAGGGAAGGAGCTATGACTGGAAGGGCCACCCAGGGGTCACTGCAATATCCTATCTCATTACCTGGGGGCACTGCAATATCCTATCTCATTACCTGAGCACTGGTTACACAGGGCTTTTGCTTTCCTATTCTTTAAACTGAATATAATGCATACAGAATTCTACTTTTTTTTCTCTCTCTCTCTCTTTTTTTTTTTTTTTTGCATAGTGGCAAATAAAAACTCCAACCTTTTAACATACTCCACATTTTTTTTTACCAATATGAGTATCTCATTTAGCAAAGAAAAGTTCTTTTGATCTTTGGTTAGGCCCTTTTTCTTCAGTTACACTTAAATAACATAATTAACTATCTTTTATTTCAAAAGATAGCATCTCTAATAATACAGTCTCATTTTTATTAAAGTATTTTGATCTTTCCCTCTACATATTTTATTAAACTATCTTTCCTTCTGCATATAAGGACAGAGAGCTAGAAGGCTCATCACTTATGTGAGTAATTACTTCTGGGTGGTAGAACTGGGGGTGATTTAACTTTCTTCTACACTTATTTTTCCACATAATTTGAATGTTTTTTAATGAATATAGATCATAATTTGTGACAATGAAGTGTTTTGTTGCTATTAGTTATTCTCCAGTGAACTAGGTGTGGTGGATAGTGGGGAGGGTGGACCCTGAGCAGGGTGACAAAGGTTTCTATGTGGGACCATCCCCATGGTGGCGTAGTGAAGCCCCATTGGAGTGAAGAGGGTGTCTGCCTGGAGGATGAACAGGGGCAGTAACAATAAAAAAATTTTCATATAGAGGTATTGATTAAAGAAGCAAACAGTAAAAATAATAAGAAACATGTTCTTCATGTTAGAGAAAGAAGATGCAAATACGCAAACAGGAAGAAACTAGAACAAATCTTCTGTTACACTTCTACAGCATGTATATGTATGCACACACACAATATATATATTACTTAATGCTGTCCCCTAAGAAGACTTGGAAGCAGGGACACTCCCAGAGCAAGGAGAAAACTAGTACTCAGATTTTTTTTCTTTCTCCCTTTTTTTTCTTTTTTTGGTGAGGGTATACTGGGAATTGAACCCAGGGGAGCTTTACTACTGAGCTACCTCACAGGCCTTTTTATTTTTTATTTTGAGACAGGGTCTGGCTAAGTTGCTGAAGCTAGTCTAGAACTTGAGATCCTCCTGCCTCAGCCTCCGAAGTCACTGGGATTACAGGCCTGTAGCCACCATGCCAGACTACAAATACCGTTCTCCACTAGGAGAAAATGGGGCTCCATGGAGAAACAACTTATCCCAGGACTGGGACAGGCAAAGTATGGATAAGCCTGAAACTAGTTAAATGTAACCAGTTTCTCTTATTCACTTATGAATAAGTGCCCAAAGAATTATAAGAACATGTCAAAAAAGACACTTCTGTCACTTTAAGGTTTCCTGATGGTCAAATCCAAAATAATACAGATATCAAAATAATAAATAATGATACTAAAGATAATAATCCATTGCAAAAAATAGGATATCATAAATTATAATAATATAAATTAACTAACTAAAGGTTTAATGAAGAACGGGAATATTTGCATAGTCTCAAAGGATTTCCTAACAAAAAGACTTATGAATTACAAAGAGAAAGAAAAAAATAAAGAAAAAACAGAACTTTTACAGAATACAAGCCTGGCAGACATCATTTAAATCAAGTAACCAAAATGAACATCACTAGGAATGGGACAAATTAAAATCATGCGCCACACAAAAGGAGCTAATGGAAAGAACACAGCGTCATCGCCACAGAATCATCTCTGAAATTTTTATTCCTGCCAATAATGTTAACCTGAAACTAATGATGAGGAAACATCAGGCAAATCCAAAGGGAGGGACATTCTGCAAAATGGCCTAAATCTTTGGAAGTGCTTATAATCATGAAAATCAAAGAAGGACTCAGGAACTACTCTAGACAAATGGAGAATAAAAACATAACAACTAAATGCAAAGTCTGGTTCTGAAACTGGATTCTTGTGCTACAGAGGGCTCTGTTGGGAAAATTGAGGATTCGATGGCAGTAATGCATCCTGATGTTAATTTCCTGATTTTGACAGTTGTATTGTGTCAGAAATACATGTTAAGGTATTCACTGTCTGAAATTCAAGGTCTTCCGCTATCATTCAAGTTGTTATACGTTCCCTGCAGTTGCAGGACTGATGTTTTAAAAATCATCATTCACAGAATTGTTGAGTACCAGCAAGTAAACAAAATGCACAAACTAGCCGGGCGTGGTGGTGCACAACTGGGGCTCAGGAGGCTGAGGTGGGGAATCTTGAGTCTAAAGCAGGCCTCCGCAAAAGTGAGGCGCTAAGCAACTCAGTGAGACCTTGTCTCTAAATAAAATACAAAATAGAGCTGCAGACATGATGGCTCAGTGGTCGAGTGCCCCTGAGTTCAATCCCTGGTACCAAAAAAAAAAAAAAAAGCACAAACTGTTGTCTTGCTCAACACTGTACCCTCTAGAGCTTAGTACAGGGCTCAGTAAATATTCATTAAGTGGATTTTAATAGGAAGGAGAAGTAAAATAAAGAACAAGCTTTTAAAAATTAAGCCATGCCTTCATCTGGACCAGGAATGATGAGGAGCTTCTCCCCGGGTTCCCTTGCTCTGTGCTCCACAGCCCAGGAGAGAAACGGCAGCATCTCTAATGGCAACTCAGTGTGCGAAGAAGCCAACAAGGTCAGCACTAATGGACTGCCCAGCACAAACGGCTTGCAGTGCACTCGTCCAGGGAAAGGGACCGAAATGTATTAAGATGTGGTCCTGGAGCTTATGAATCGAGTTAGCAAGACAAGTTTAAAATTAGAAAAACAAAACAGTGTTAAATGTAACCAGTTTCTCAAGTTAACAGTGTACCATCCTGGCCTATTTGAGACATTTGAGTGGACATTTTCAATTACTGCAAAGTATTTATGAAAATATAAAAGGTCCAAAGAAAGGATCATTTAGGCCTTAAAAGTAGTTGTCACAGCATAAACTCTTTCCTTTTTGCATATTTAGAATTTTACATTCCTGGCTGATGCAGGAGGAAGGAAGGACATTGGGAAAACTTACTTTCAACTGTTATCAGCTATAGTCTCAAGGTTCAAAGATATTTCAGGCAGACAGATGTTTTCCCAACAGCAAAAAAGAGGAGTCTCTCTCTCTTTTTTTTTTTTTTTAAAGACATACTTAATTGTAATGGACCAAAATTTCTTCAAGGAGCTGGCACGGTGGTGCATGCCTTATAATTCCAGTGGCTCAGGAAGCTGAGGCAGGAGGATCGAAAGTTTAAAGCCAGTCTCAGAAACCTAGTGAGGTTCTGAGCGACTTAGCAAGAACCTGTCTCAAATAAAAAGAGGGGGCGTTGGGGATTTGGCTTAGTGGTTGACAACCCCTGAGTTTAATCCCTGGTACCAAAAAAGAAAAAAAAAATCCTTGGGCTGGGATTGTGGCTCAGCAGTAAAGTGCTCACCTAGCACATGGGAGGCCCTGGGTTGGATCCTCAGCACCACATAATAATCAATAAATAAAAGTATTGTGTCCAACTACAACTAAAAAAATTATATATATATTATTTTTTTTAAATCCTCAAGGGGTAAAATTCCAGAATCTCAGAAAGATACAGAATTCAAGAATCATATCAAGCCGGTGTGATGGCACACACCTTTAATACCACTGACTTGGGAGGCTGAGACAGAAGAATCTCAAGTTCAAGGCCAGTCTCAGAAACTTAGATCTGTCTCAAATTCAAAGGCGGGGAGGGATAGCCTGGGGGTATACCTCATTGGTGGAGTGTCCCTGTGTTCAAACCCCAGTACCACAAAAATTTAAAAAATGTATATCAAGAATTCAGTTCTGAATTTCAGAAAATATGAACTGTCCACATCACATATAGCAAAAAAACTGGACCTGGCCTAATAATTCACTGCTATGATAATCGTAAATAAAAAAATATTTAAGCATTGGATATATTTCCCATAATCAACTTTATTTCATCTTTAGAACAACTCTGAGTATCTCTGTTTCACAGAGGAAGCTTCAGATGAAGCCAAAGAGCTATTACTTGGAAGATCCAGGACGAATGAGTGGTTATCAAACAGGGTAAATTTCAGAGGCTACATAGAAAGATGACTTTATCCACCAACATTCTTCTCCTCACCACCATCTGGGTGCTATTGGTGCTTCTCTGCTTCAGGTAAAACTTCCTCTTAATCTGCACTTATCAGTGGGTAAGTTAATTGCTATTTCCCATTTGCACACTATGAACCCCTTAAGGCTGCTGTTCTTAATTGGTCAAGAACAAGGAATTTGGGGCTGGGGTTGTGGCTCAGCGGCAGAGTACTTGCCTAGCATGTGCAAGGCCCTGGGTTCGATCCTCAGCACCACATAAAAATAAATAAATAAAATATAGATATTGTGTCCATCTACAACTGAAAAATAAATATTTTTTAAAAAAAGAACAAGGCACTAAGCCAGGCTCAGTGGTGCATGCCTGTCATCCCAACAGCTCAGGAGGATCATGAGTTCAAAGCCAGCCTCAGCAACGGGTAGATATTTGGCAACTCAGTGAGACCCTGTTTCTAAATAAAAATACAAAATAGGGCTGGGGATGTGGCTCAGTGATTGAGTGCCCCTGAGTTCAATCTCTGGTACCAAAAAAAAAAAAAAAAAAAAAGGCACTGAGGCTTTGATAGAAAAGGGAAGAAGACCTCATGGTACATTCTTGAATCTCAGCAACTTGGGAGGCTGAGGCAGGGGACCACAAGTTTGAGGCCAGCCTCAGCAACTTAGAGAGACCCTGTCTCAAAATTTAAAAAGAAAGAAAGGTAGGTAGGTAGGTGGGGGAAGGAACTCTATGTAAGAACATTGCTCAGTAGGGGCATCTGAAGAAGAGATTATGAGGCAAAGAGAAAGAAAGGAACACAGACAACAAAAGAGAGACTTCAGCACAATCAAGGCTGGCATGGGAGGGAGTGATGGCAAGGATGTGTACAGAATTGGGCTGACTGGTCCTGAAGCCAGGCATGCACAACTTGAAATTGATGAAAAGGTGATTTTTGAAAATTAGCAAACCAAATACATGAACCCTACCCCAGAAGGAAATTGGAAAATTTAGAGAACTGATCTAATACCAGAGCAGAAAACAGGGAGCCATGCAGGAAATTCAAAGTAAGAAGACAGCATTTCATCAATTCTCAAAGTCCACCGCAGCTGAATTCCTGATTTCTGACCATTTCCATAAAATCTATTTATTCTCCTTCCCTCAGGAGCCATCCCACTGTCAGGCCTGTTAAGCATGCCCTGTATTAAATCTCTGCACCTCCTAACAAGTACACACCTTTTCCAAGCATTATCTTTTTGAAACTGTAACTGGACATCTCCCCATGATCCTGGGGGTAAAGGGAGGAGCAAAACCCATTCAAGTTGGCTATATGACCTTAGGGTTGTGGCATAGAACAAGACAATCAAAGATAAAGTTCTGTGCACTTGAAACAACCCACATACTGGCTCCTCCCAGCCCACTCTCAAACATACATGATCCTCCAATCTTCAGTGAACAGAATATATCAAACAGGTCATTGCTGAAATTTCTACCAGGTCATCTCTGTAAAACTGTTTAAAAGCAAAAGTGGAAAACTAAAAGAGCAGTTTAACAATACTCTTGTACCTTGAATGCTTCTTTTAAAAAAGGCCTTACATCCTTCACACGACCAGACTCCATAGTGATATCCAGACGCATAATCGCTGCAGACCGCACAGAAGTGAGCATCCCTTTTTGAACTTGGACTAGTAACAGGGCTGGTGCAATGGTTCACACTGACCTTCCTCTTCAGTGTCTCTCTGGGAAGGCAAAGAAAATATCCATTGTAAAAGAGCATGAAGAGAAAGGAAGGGTTTTTAGGGGGAAGAAAAAAAGGCATGAACATTGTCTAATTTAATCTCTTTGCCTTCCAGGACTCATGATAAATGTATTCTAGGAAATCTGATGGAGCAGAACCTCTGTTACTGATATCAGATCTATGTGGAGAATGACTGATGTGTGAAAGTGGTTAGGTGAGTTTATGCCCATCCATGCACAGGAAGGAAACAGAGGCTCAAAGCTTGCTGCTGGGCAAGGGGCACCAAGGAGGAACAGAACCCAGCAAGGGAACACTAGGGGGCACTAAAAACCTGGCAAGTTCCTAATTTTGTCTGAGCATGTTTGTTTTGAAAAGGGAATAGTAGGGGTATTACTGACTTATTACTTAATTTGTCCAAATATTAACAAAACTTTTATTAGAATTCAAGCTCAGAAACAAAAATATTTCCTATTTTAAAGAAAAACATTACTTTTATATTTTTAAACTGTATTTATTTATGTTTTATAGTGTTGAGGATCAAACCCAGTGTGTCATATGTGTGAGACGAGGACTTGAACACTGAGCTATATGCCCCCAACCCAACATTACTTCAAAAAAGTTACCTATGATTTTTTGCTGGGCATGGTGGCATACACCTGTAATCCCAGCAACTCGGGAGGCTGAGGCAGGAGGATCATGAGTTCAAAGCCAGCCTCAGCAAAATCAAGGTGCTAAGCCACTCAGTCAGACCCTGTCTCTAAATAAAATACAAAAAAAGGGCTGGGGATGTGCCCCAATGGTTGGGTGCCCCTGGGTTCAATCTCCAGTACCCCCCACCCAAAAAAAAAAAAAGTTATCTACAATTTTTGCTGAAAGTGGTGGTGTACACCTGTAATCCCAGTAGCTCAAGAGGATAGCAAGTTTGAGGCTAGCCTCAGCACCTTAGCAGGACCCTGTCTCAAAATAAAACATAAAAAGGGCAGGGGGGTTGGGGATGTAGCTCAGTGGCAGAGTGCTGGGATTGTGGCTCAGTGGCAGAGCACTTACCTCACACGTATGAGGCACTGGGTTTGATCCTCAGCACCACATTAAAATAAACAAAATAAAGGCATTCTGTCCATCTATAACTACAAAAAAAATTAAAAAAAAAAAAAACACTGATGTGGCTCAGTGGTTAAGTGCCCCTGGGTTCAATCCCTGTTACAAAAAAAAAAAAAAATAGTGGAGAACAATTGGATATTCAGATACTATACATGCACACACACACACACAAACACACACAACACAAAACACAAATTTTTAAAGTTACCTACAATTTTTATATTCTCTTTTTTATCCACCAATACAAAGTTGTTATTAAAAGAAGAAAACTAAAATTATTATATAACATTTTCTCAAAGTTCCTTTTTTAAATATGCTTGCCGAGGATTGAACCTATGGTCCCACATGCGCCACGCACATGCTGAATCACAGAGCCATTATCCTCTGCCTGATTTCTCAAAAGTGATGAATTTCAATACCCAACATGCCCTAACGTAGCACTCTGCTTGATTTAGAAGTTTATTTCTTCTTCTTTTTATTTCTTTTGATACCATCCTTTCCCTCTATAGCCATACTAATTATTAAAAACATAAAAATTTAGACTGAAATAATTCATCATGTTACCTTGCATTTAAAGAGCTCAAATATTTAATTTCAGAAAAACTTAACAGAAGCCTACATTTATGTATTTTCTCACCAAACTTCTTAAAGTATTGTTTTAGTTCATGGTTTAGAAAGCTTGTACTAATTACCTTTTCAGCCTTCACATGGCTAGCATGTTATTTACTTTTATCCTGGAAACAATTTGTCCTGAACACTAAGTTGTGACTGACAAAAAGATCTAACCTGAAAGTAAAGATTTATTTTTCAAACCCAAATAGCTTCATTAGGAGGAAAGTGATTCAAGGTCAATCTTTTTTTAATTTTTTTTAAATTTTTTAGTTGTACACAATACCTTTACCTTGTTTATTTTTATGTGGTACTGAGGATCGATTCCAAGGCCTCACACGTGCTAGGCAAGTGCTGTACTGCTGAGCCACAACCCCAGCCTGATTCAAGGTCAATCTTCATCACATAAAGACAGTGGTCACGATAGTGAATTCTCCCCATGATACCTATCTACAAGCACAACCTTTTAATGAGGGCATCATATGTTTTTGGTGCTCTAAGTTATCTAGGTGACAAAATAAAGACCTTGTATAACACACATCTTTCTTCTCATTAAACCACAAAGCAAAGTGCATCATGCCCACGAACTGCAGTTTAGAATGAAGACTACATTTACCTGTTGACAGGTAAGGTGTGTTCCAGTGATCTTGCTTCACACCAAGGACTCTTTTGAGGCTCTGCATACAGAAGTGAGGACTGACAGTGAATTGCTAAAGGAGACAGGTGCCCAGGAGTTGGCCATAATACATGTGGGCTTGCTGTCTGTTGACCAAGCCCACTTTCATTGTTATCTGAAGTGCTAGAAATACTGTAATTCATCACAGCAGGGCTATAGAATGTCATGGCCGAATATTCGTGATGGCTCTCTACATAGGAGGAAGGGATATATATGGGGCCATGCTCCAGGGGTAGGACAGATTGACTGCAGTTGTAGGAGGCAGGAGAGTTAAGGCTAGATGGTGAGTTTTTGATATCCATGTCTTGAACAGGCAGCAGCTGAGAAAACTCCTTGTGAGAAGAGGCACAAAGGGACATTATAAAGGACTCATAGGCAGGTATAATGGCTGTAAAGAGAAACAAAAGATATGGCTATGAGCTATAGAAGTAACTGTTAAAAATTATTCAAACATTTTTTATAAATGCACACCTTTGTATGGGATTACAAATACATCCAAAAAGATACATGTGAAAATATTAACTACAGAGGGGTAGGAATGTGAAGTATAAAACTCTCATTCATTTACTTCTTTTTTTAATATTTATTTTTTAGATGTAGTTGGACACACTATCTTTATTTTATTTATTTATTTTTATGTGGTGCTGAGGATCGAACCCAGGGCCTCACACATGGTAGGTGAATACTCTACTGCTGAGCCATACTCCCAATCCTCATTTACTTCTTTATTGCTTCATTGTTGTGGTAGTTATTTAACCATGATAATTTATTCTACAATATTTTAATTTTATTTCACTATAAATTGTGTTGAGTTCAATGGTGGTATTCCTTTACAGGGAATACAAAACTAAAATCAAGCCATACAAGCATAAGATAAACCAGTGATGAGGCCTGCTCAGTCTATACTAGAGCAGACACCAGTTCATACCAGAGCCCACATGAAGGTGTTTTTATTCAATAGAAACAGATATTAATGGGCTGGGGTTGTGGCTCAGTGGTACAGCACTTGCCTAGCAAGTGTGAGGCACTGGGTTCAACCCTTAGCACCACATAAAATAAAGAAAGTTATTTTTTTTTAATTTAAAAAAAGAAACAGACATTAACAGTAGCAACATATGGCTATAGAACGAGACCATAAGTGCCCTTGAATTTTTTGTGAGTTCTAGTGAGGCTCTGACAAGCCTAACATTATTCTCTTACCAGTCAGGTAATAGAACCCATCTGCTAATGAAACTCGAAGGTTCTTCATCCAGCTGGAAATGACTACAACTTAAAGTCCTTTTCCTAGTTGTCTGCCTTTCCACTTTAGAGTCATCTAGCAGGTTAATTTCAATGTGACAAAAGGTATCATCTGGATGGCTACATCATGCCCTGGTGACAAGGACAGGTATAATGAAGTTTGTGCTGAAACAATTGGACCTCCTGGTTGGTCTTCTAAAATACTTTTGAAAACTAAAAACCAAAGAATATATAAAATTCCATTGAGTATGCTTTTTCTGGAGCTAGAGAAGTTTATTTGAATGCTCATGTGGAAAAATAGGAATAGCCAGGTAAACCCTAAAGAAGATCAATGATTGGGGCTAATATTATTAACAGATATTCAAATACACTGTGTTCTTTCAATAATAAACAAGGTCCCTCCACAATCTTGTAGCCTCAGGTTGGTGATAACTTTACCACAGCCACCCATCCAGGCTGTGGCCCAAAGGGTCAACATCTCAAAGGAATTCATTAAGAAATATCACCTTATCCAGAGAGGTGGCACATACCCATAATCCCAGCATGTTGGGAGGCTGAGGCAACAGGATTGAGAGTTCAAAGCCAGTGTCAGCAACTTAGACAGGCCCTAAACAGTTTAGGGAGAGAGGGAGGGAGGGAGAGAGAGAGAGAGAGAGAGAGAGAGAGAAGGAACCTGGACCTACCTTGACCATGCATTCACACTGGTTACTGACTGCCATCTGCACAGAGGCACTTTGGAGGGTGCATTTTGCTGGCCCTGCAATGCCAGACCAGCCAGGCTAAATCAATCAACATCTCTGCTAGTTCATGGCCAAACCTCGCTTATCCAGTGAGGTTTGAACTCCTTCCAAATTTGTTCTTCCTTAGGTGATACTCCTCAGTCATGGGGTGCCAAAGAGAGTTTCCTTATCTTTTATACTTAATCTGTTACCATAGTTGGTAATTCTTTAAACTTCCTCTGTTAGCTGAGTATGCTGGTAAGCCTGTAGTCCCAGCTACTTGGGAGGCACAGGCAGGAGGATTGCAATTTGGAGACCAAGCTAGGCAATTTAGCAAGATGTCCATCTCAAAAAATAGAAACAAAAGATTTCCCCTGTTGAAAGTATTTATAGTTTCTATCCCCTGAGTTAATTCAAACTACTACTGTGATGGCAAACCCAGACGTGGTTGTGAAAAGAAATTACAAAAAACGCTATGGTAAGAAACCAATGCCTGGAGAAGGGGTCAATTCCACTTCCTTCTCTAAGCCTTTCTCCAGGAAGCCTAATTAACCATGGGATTGTAAGCCTAATTAACCTTTTGGATTGTAAATAACTGCCCTAGGAATCTGACTACTCCCTCTTGAAATGTAACAGATTTCTTCTTATCTGTTTTTGTGAGCATGCTTTATGTTAGAGACCCTGCTCAGGGCCTTCAGCTGCGTTGATTAGGATTTTAAAAAAAAAAAAGATGAAAAGCCCCAATGATAGGATGGTTCTAAAATGACTTGAAATAACCTATAAATATTGTGAGAAACTGTGGATCAGGGCTCAGAATTTGGAGTTTTTGTTTTCCTCTGGGCCCACCTGCATAAAATTAAAAATTTGGAATTCGCCTCCTCTCTGAGTACTACTTGCTCCTTCTGGATTAGTCTGTTTCCCGCAACACTACTGTAAGAGAATAGAAGATCTGAAAATAGAAGATTTGAGAACAGAAAATCCAAAAGCAACACTTTTTGGAAATTTGGTGTACCTCAAATCACTGGGAAAACACTAGACGGTAGTCCAGCCACTGAAAAAAAAAAGAACAGTGGATATATATCATACACTGTACCAGAATAAACTCCAGAAATCAAAAAGTTCAGAGAGATGGAAGAAGAAAGCAGGGGAAAGAAATATAAATGTAGAAGAGGGGATAAAAGGGAAAGGGGAGGGCTCTCGAGAGGCCCTACAAGCACCAGCAGCTAACATAGGAAAATCCCTTTACAACCTGAGTGTGAGGGGAGAACTCTGGCTGAAAATCCAAAAGCAATTTTTTTAAATAACCAATAAATTCAATACCCAAACCCAAATATCATACAAATACCATAATCAAAGTAAAAAAATAACTAATTATAAATTATAAAAACAAAAAGAAAGAAAAACAATTCTCAATTTATTTTAGAAACAAGGAGCTAATCTCTCTAATACATGGGGAGAACTCATATTAGAATGAAGAACAAACTACTCATTAGAAAAACAGGCAAAAGTCACAGGCAGAATACAAAAGGAAGGCAAATGCTACTTAAATAAAAAAGATGTTCAGCCTCATTTGTAGAAGATACCTACATTAAGATACTATATCTCATTTAACACATTAGACAAAAATATTTCCCTGGCAAATGATTCAAATGTTTGAAAACAGACTGTCTTGGCAAGGCCACAAAACAAACAAACAAAAAAGCCAGCAACACATGCCTGGAATCCCAGCCACTGGAGAGGATGAGATAGGAGGATCACAAGTTGGAGAACAACCTCAGCAATTTAGAAAGCCCTATCTCAAAATATAAAAAGAGGTAGGAGGTGTAGCTCAATGGTAGAGTGCCCCTGGATTTTATCCCCTGTACCCCGCCCCCCCCCAAAAAAAAAAACAGGAATAACAGGGATTCCATGTGTGTACACATGTGTATATGTGCTAATGACTGAAACCAGGGACATTTTACCACTGGGCTATACCTCCAGTTTTTTTTTTCTTTAATAAATACTCTTTTTTTTAATATTTATTTTTTAGTTTTTGGCGGACACAACATCTTTGTTTGTATGTGGTGCTGAGCATTGAACCCTGGCCGCACGCAAGCCAGGCGAGTGCGCTACCGCTTGAGCCACATCCCCAGCCCTATACCTCCAGTTTTTGAAACAGGGTCTAAGTTGCTTAGGGCCTTCTTAAGTTGCTGAGGCTAGCCTTGAACTTACCATTCTTCTGCCTCAGCCTCCTGACTCTCTGGGATTACAGGTATGCACCACTGCACCTGACTAAGGGACTCTTTTCTACAATGCTGATGGGAGTGGAAAATGATAATCTCTATGGGTCTTTTTTTTTTAATATTTTATTTTATTTTTTTAGCTGTAGTTGACCCAATACCTTTTATTTATTTTTCCTGAACCTGAGGATCAAACCCAGGGCCTCGCACGCACTAGGCGAGCGCTCTACCACAGAGTCACGACCCCAGCCCAAAATTTTGTTTTGACAAAATATATCAAATATGTATGTTTTTACCTTTTGGACTATGACTTTCAAAAAAAGAGAAAAAGAAATCATTTGCTAGCATTGTAAATTATCATTACATCAGTTTCTCTACTTGGATACACAGTAATTAAGGTAATTAAGCCTATACTCTCCTTCTTCTTTTATACCCCAGTACTGCAAATGGAAACCAAGAATGCTCTACCGCCGAGCCACACCCCAAGCCCTTTCTAGTTTTTTTTTTTTTTAAATTTTAAGACAGTCTCACTGAGTTGCCCAGGCTGGCCTTGAACCTGTGATCCTTCTGCCTCAGCCACCAGGCCTGGATCTGTATCCTGCCTTTTTGAAAGAATCTATATTTTATTCCATTGTCAAGGGAAACTTCTGTACAAAGGAATATCAGAAAAAAAATTGGTAAAGCAAATAAGTAAAAATACTGCAATTACTGCATCCCTGGATAGCAGGCATACATAGACATTCATTTTGCCAATCTTTCAACTATTCTGTAAATTTGAAATTTCTATAAATTTTTCATAATAAGCAGCTTTGGAAAAAAAACAAACAAATTAAAAATGAAAACCTTTTAAAAATATTTAAAAATTTGGAATAATATAATCTGGAAAAGAGAACAGTGACCATTAATAATGAGGCTGGTTAAGAGAGAAAATTAAATGAAGGCACTTGCCTTCAGAATTATCCATCCTCAATATTTTCAACTCTTGCTTAAAATATAGGCAATTTGGTTCTCTAGAAGCTCCCAATATCCTCCTTCTGATGTTTTAATTTGAATGCTCCCTTCCTTTGTCCTAAAATCCTATCTATAGTGGCTTTAATTATGTTCATAAATTCTTCAACATTCTTCCCTTCAAAAGATGGAGTCTAGCCTGGCCCTTGAGTGCAAGCTAGATTTAGGGATTCACTTTTTATTTTTTTTTGTATAATGAAGTCCACTTCCAGAGGCACTGTCTGAGCCGAGTCCTCGTGTTCTTCTGGGGTCAGCCTTTATTTTTTTTTAATTTTTTATTTGTTTTAATTAGTTATACATGACAGTAGAATGCACTTATGTATTTTGATATATCATACATAGATGGTATATAATTTCTCATTTTTCTGAGTATACATATTGTAGAATCACATTGGTCATATAGTCACATACATGTATAAAGTAATGTCATTCTACTATCTTTCTTATTCCCCACGACCCCTGTCTTCCCCTCCTTTCACTTCCCTCTATCTAATCTAAGGTAATGTTACTCTTTTTTTTTTTTTTGCATTACAATTCTTAATACACATATATACCACAATTTTTGTATCTCTGTTTGTATATAAAGTATGTTGAATTGGGTAATTCAAGTCTTAATACATGTACTTTGTATAATGATGTCCACCACATTCCACCATCCTTGATAATCCCCTGCCCCCTCCCTTTCCCTTCCACCCCTC